GCCTGGACCCCTGGAGGGGGTTGTCGTGGCCGGGGCAGGACCTGGCACTTGGCCTGGTTGAGCCTCATACAACTGGCCTTGTCCCATTGATCCAGCCTGTCCAGATCCCTCTGACCTTCCTAACTTCAGGCAGGTCAACACTCCCGCCCAACTTGGTGTCATCTGCAAACAGATTGAGGGTGCACTCCATCCCTTTGTACAGATCATTGATGAAGATGTTAAACAGAACTGGCCCCAGTACCCTGGGGAACACCACTGGTGACCGGCTGCCAACCGGATTTAACTCCATTCCCCACAGCTCTTTGGGTCCAGACATCTAGACGGTTTTTTACCCCGCCCCGTCCAAGCCAGAACAGTTTCTCCAGGAGAATGCTGTGGGAAACAGTGCCAAAGGCTTTCCTAGAGTCTAGGTAGACAACATCCACAGCCTTTTCCTCATCCACTAAGCAGGTCACCTTGCCACAGAAGGAGATCAGGTTGGTCAATCAGGACCTGCCTTTCATAAACCCATGCTGGCTGGGCCTGATCGCCTGGTTGTCCTGCACATGTCGTGTGATGGCACTCAGAATGATCTGCTCTGTAACCTCCCCTGGCATTGAGCCCAGACTGGCAAGCCTGTAGTTCCCTAGATCCTCCCTACTCACACGCATTAAGCCCTTGCCTTTCGCACCGGCAGTACCTGTGCTTACGACTAGGGCACTGGTACCCAAGCTGGGAGAGTGGAGCCTGCTGGGGTGACCTAGCTCTGCCCTGGGATTATGGCATCCCACCCATGCTACGACTACTTCCCAAGCCCTAGCATCGCAGCAGGGACTTGCACCTCAGAGATCCCTTCTGCTGCTAATTATGTTGCATTTGTGGGCCAGGAAGACCCTGGAGGCAGAAGAGCTGTTTACGTGGCAAGACACTGGTTTGGCTCCAGATCGCCCAAGTGAAGCCAGGAGATGCCAGCTGAGTTCCTGCTAACTCATAGGCTCACCACACACTGTGAGAGAGGTCTTTGCACAAGTGAGGCCCAGAACCACATGAAACCAAACCAGCATGGAGACGGGGGTGACTGTGCCCCCTGTGTACCATCACCGACAAGCCAGCGTGGGAGAGCAAGCACCACAGCGGCTTGAGACCCCCTCCAAGCTGGTCGCAGAGCTTGCAACAGGGTGTGAATGTACCCTTCAAAACCACCACCAATGCAACCATCCATTCTGTGAGATAAAAGAGCATCTTGGCTAGCACAAACCCCAGCAGATGTGGGCCTGGAGACACGCATCCTCATCAGACCTGTGGGATTTGAGAACCACTAGCACATGGCCCGGCACACACTGGCTTACTGGTTTTCGTAGCTGGCTTACTTATTGATCAACGTCTTTAGGGAGCGCGTGAGCGTGCTCACGACGGTGGCAACTGTGGCTGACTGGCGGGCGAGCTGCTCCACCGTCTGCTGGTGGCTCAGCGTTCTGGCCGTGGACTCCTCCGCAGCCTTCAGGAGGAAGGTGTAGTTTCTCACCACTTCCTCCACCTTCGTCAGCAGCTCTTGGCGCTGGGACTCCGAGCGCACGACGTACACCAGCCTCACAAACGTCTCGATGAGGCTGCTTAGCACCTGGAAGCTGCTCGTGATGGCGGAGAGCATGTGGGTAGGACTCTTGTCGACGGCTGCCACGCGGCGGCAGGACGCCCGGAACTCCTTGAACTTGAGGGCGAGCTCTTGCTTGTACTCAGCCAGCTGGGAGATGTAGGGTTTGCAGTCCCGCACCTCGGGGCTCACCACACACTGCCTCAGGATAGTCAGGAGCTCGGTGGTGTCCAGCTGCACTTGCAGAAACCCATTGGGGAAGCTGTAGGCATGGCCTCGAAGGGTGTTGATCTTTGCCAAGCTTCCCTCAAAACTGGAGGTCCTTAAATCGATTTCCTGGGTCTGACTGTCATTAGGACTGCTGCAGGCTGATGCATCTAGGACCTGCAGAGTCCTGCTCATGACTGGGACCATCTGATTGTCCAGCTTCATTCCCGGGAGTATCTGCATGGGGATGGAATAGGAGAGCTCGTCCTTCTCGCTCCCATCATCTGCAACGTCACATTTCCTGTAGTAGAAGCAGTACCGAATGGAGCAGCATTTCTCATCCTCCATGTCTTCATCCCGCAGCTCAGCGGGACTTGGATACACCTCCTCCTGGACAGAGAACACTGCTGACCCCTTCTGGTTCTTTTTCTCCTGTGCTATCTGGACATAGGAGGGGTCAGCCACTCCAGAGGCTTCTTGGATTTTGCTCTTCAGAACGGGGCAAAGGATGCTGGGTTCAGGCTCTTTCTGGGACCCTTTCTGCTTGGCTGTGTAGATGTTCTGGTAGATGTCGGAGGACAGGGATGTTATGTCAGTCTTATCTATTTCACTGACACTGTAGCGACGCAAAAGCTTCCGGTAGTGTGGAGCCCCCATGCATTCTCCGGGGGACGTGCACGTTGTCAGACAGGACATGCTGTTCTCTGGATCTGACCGGTAATCTCTGGACTCTAAACTTGTGGATCGTATCCGCTTGCCTTTGGAAGGGCTGCTCACGCTTGTCAACCTGATGGCTTCTGCCTGCTTCTGGTCATCGGTAGCTTTATCCCTCCCTCGCCTCTCCAGCTCTGACATCACCAACTGGTTAGGGGGTGGTCTCACCCCCCTGCAAATCCGCTTGCAGTCGCAGCTGCGCCTTTGCTCCCTGGACATCCCTGGGACCTTTTGCACAGGGCTGCTCCTCAGCTGGCAGCTGCAGCGCCCCGGGGCAGGAGGGTGCAGATACTCCTGTGGTGGGAGGTCACCTTTGCTCTTTGGCTTGAGCAGCTCTTCGAGGAATTCCAGCTCGTACTGCTTCACCTTCTGCAGCTGGGCCTGCCGCTCATCCGTCTCCTTCTTCAGCCGGGTCGGGAATGTCGCAGAGAACAGGTTCCTCAACCTGAAGGGAGCTTTCGGAGCTTTGGGTTTAGCTGGGATATCGGCAACTTGTTGGGTCACCTCCAGGACTTTTTCTACCTTTTTGGAAGGCACGGTGCTGATCTGCAGGCTCTCGGATCTGGGCACCTTTGGAACTGGCCCTTTGGGTTCCTCACTGGTGCTCCTGAAAGTGCTACCAGGTGATGGAGTGTGCAGATTGCTACTCTCACCTTTTAAGCTCTTGGCTGAACTTTCCTGTTGCATTTTCTGTCCTTGGTTTGAAGGAGCTGTGTTCTTCTGAAAGACAAGGCTTGTGGCTTCCTTACCTGCCTTCTGACCTGCCTCTCCGCTTGTGGCTTTTCCTGGAGCATCTCTATTCCCTTTTTGCTGGTAGCTTTTAGAGGCAAAAGTCTTACTGAGCATCGTTTCCTCACCTGCCGAGGTGGGGCGGAAAGCTTCAGCCTTACCGCCGTGAGCTTCTTTAGGACTTGGAGAGACTTCACAGTGCTGCTGCGGGGGGAGTTGCTGCTGCTGCTGCTGCTGACAGTTGCATAATATCTCTGTGGTTTGTGGACCTCCTTTAAGTTTCAAAGGCTTGCTGCTGGCTGATGCACAGCTGCTGATACCGTTCACGTTCTTGTCTTCTTTTGAGGCTGCTGCCACTTGGGGAGCTGAACCTTTTGCATTTGCCGCTTGCTGCAGAGCAGCTGAAATGATGGCTGGAGTTAGACCACTTTTTTGGTCCAGGAGGAGCTTGGAGCTTGGCTGGACCTCCTCGGGTGTCTTCTCTTGTACGTCCTGTGCCTGCTCCCTGCTCGGGGCTGCTGTGGCATGCAGAGATACCTCAAAGGCTGCTTTCGTGTGGCCTGCACCTTGGCATTCAGAGTCTGGTGCTGGAGCCCCCCTGTTCTGCTCATTAAGCTGGGGGTTCAGCGCTGGCTGGACAGCCAAGGTGTAGCTCCGTTCAGCATGCTGCTGCTCCTGTTTGCTCTTGCAGTTGGTGAGGTTGTGGCTTTGGTGAGAGAAAGCTGGCTTCAAAGAAGGGCTCGGCTCCTGGCGACCGAGAGGGTAGGGTGAGGCGAGAACAGCCTGGGCAGCACAGCTCTGGATTCGGAACGGCAAGTCCTTTCTGGCCAGGAGGTTTTCTTTGTTGATATGTTGAGCGAGAAAGTAGGCTGCGTTCTGATGCTGCTTCATGGCAGAGACCATCTCTGAGACATCAGTTAGCTCTGAAGAGTTGGTTTCATGGCCAGAATCCAAGGATGACTCAGGAGTGATGGCAGCCAGGACAATAAGACCTGAGGAGGGACACAAAGAAAACCTCACGGCAACACTCACACCACGCTACTATGCAGAGGAGAGGGGAACCCAATGTGGCAGGAGGGTCCCAGGAATGCAGGACACAGCATCTCATCGGAGAAACTTTAGTGACTTCCCACAACTTGGAGATAATGCTCTTAAGAGACATCGCTTGTCAGCACTGAGCTGGCTTTCTACCTCAATTCAGCAAGAGCCCTTGGCCCAGGAAAAGGTCCTGGGAAGCTTTCCAGTATTAACGACAACAAAGCTACAGGAAATTGTCTGGAGCAAGAAGGAAAATCAGGCAACACCTACTCTGCCGTAGTAAGCAGGGCAACCAAGGTGGAGAGGGGGACAAAGGACCATGCTGCCAGCAAGCTGGTCCCAGAGCCAACTGTCTGAGAGCAGCTTTGCCCCGTGAAGGGCTCACACACTCCAAAACCTGGGTGGGAACCTGCAAGGTCTGCGGACATAAGGTACCAGCTGAGTGGGGTCACAGGGAGGACCTTGTGCTCACAGTACTGGTTTGTTAGTGCCTCACCCCAGCATCATGGCACATGGACCTTGGCAGATACTGGATAACCAAGAGACTCCTTCAGCCAGTGTCGGGGAGAGGAGTCCCACCTCACCTTCTTAGAAATCTGAGCAGCAGCATGGCTGCTCCTGCTACAGCCTGTTGCCACAGCTTAATTTTTACTAGAAGCTGCTCCACAATCATATATAGGATGGGAGAAGGAGGCTAAAGGGAAGCAGGTACCACAGGAAAGAAAGGCTATAGGGAAGAATGAAAGTCACAGCCATTGAAATACCTGCTGTCTGCTGGGGTGGGGGATGTGGACAATCCTCTGAAGCAGCCAGGGCTTCCAGCGCCTGCAGGGTGGACACCAGGGCATCGTCCAGCTCTTGGGCATGGTCTCGGACTGTCCGTGGTTGCACGTTGTCTATCAGCGTGACAGGGATCTCGTCGTAGAGGATGCCACAGAGGTGCCGGCCCTGCTCCTGGCTCTGGGCAGCCGCCCGGCGCTTGGGGTCATCCTCGTCCGAGCTGTTGTCTCGGAAGCCGGGAGGGGGGGCAGCAATGGCAGGGAGCAGAGATGTCGTCTCATCTTCTTCCTCATCACTCCCGGGAGGTGGAAGTGACATCAAGTCCACCATATTGTCCCGGGTGGTGCCGGGCTTGCCTCCCTTGCATGAGGCCAGCCGGCTCTTGATTTTAGCTTGGCAGGACTCGCAGTAGAAGTGCGAGACGTCGCTCCGCAGGTGGGTGTCTATGGTGTGTGCCCTGGCCCTGCTCGCATGCCTGTCTTGGTCAAGGCCATCCAGGTCATACTCGTTAGCTGCCCCGTTGTAGTCTTGGCCAGAGCTTTTGGAAGTGGGGTCAGATTTGGTCCTGGGACGAGTTTCCTCAAAAAAAATCAGGTTTTCGTTGATATCTGTCCTGCTCTCTCTTTCCTTCCTCTGCTCTCGCATGTGCAGATAGCAAAAGCTGATGAGCTCCGAGTCCGAAGCCCTGGAGGCTGGAGCTCCGGCTGCTCCGGTGCCAGTGGCAGAGCCACCCACCAGCCCGCTCTCTTTCTTTCCCGTATGCCCCGCTGCGGCAGGCTGGTGGAGGTTGTGTGCGTTGATGTAATCTAAACCAGAACCACAACAGGTATGTTAGCAGCAGCACCCGGGAGAAAGGAATACAGCATGGGGAAGTTCCTGCTCACCCTGGAGGAGCATCCGTGTGCTCTCTGCCCTCCAAACCTTGGTGTGTCAGACTGCAGTGGGACATGTGTTCCCTGTGGCACAGCCAGGCCAACCGGCTGATCTTTTGAAAAATCATCTTCTGCAACCCGCTGGGACTCTGCCAGTAACGAGCGCAGGAAGAAATGTCCTGCACGTGCAGATGATAGAACCGTAGTTTGGGTTGGAAGGGACCTTAAAGACCATCTAGTTCCAGCCCCCCTGCCATGGGCAGGGACACCTTCCACTAGACCAGGTTGCTCCAAGCCTCATCCAGCCTGGCCTTGGACACTTCCAGGGATGGGGCATCCACAGTTTCTCTGGGCAGCCTGTTCCAGTGCCTCAACACTCTCATTGTAAAAAAAATCTCCCTCTAGTCTGAATTTACCCTCTTCTAGTTTAAATCCATTACCCCTTGTCCTATTGCTATAGGTCCTATTAAAAAGTCTGTCCCCATCTTTCTTACAAGACCCCCTTAAGTATTGAAAGGCTGCAGTAAGATCTCCCTGGAGCCTCCACTTCTCCAGACTACAAACCCCAGTTCTCAGCCTGTCCTCCTAGGAGAGGTGTTCCAGACCATTGATTATTTCTGTGGTCCTCTTCTGAACTTGCTCCAACAGGGCCATGTCCTTCCTGTACCAAGGATGCAGAACTGCAGCTGGGGTCTTCACAAGAGCAGAGTAGAGGGGGAGAATCCACTCCCTTGCACTGCTGGACTTCCAGGGATGGGGCATCCACAGTTTCTCTGGGCAGCCTGTTCCAGTGCCTCAACACTCTCATTGTAAAAAAAATCTCCCTCTAGTCTGAATTTACCCTCTTCTAGTTTAAATCCATTACCCCTTGTCCTATTGCTATAGGTCCTATTAAAAAGTCTGTCCCCATCTTTCTTACAAGACCCCCTTAAGTATTGAAAGGCTGCAGTAAGATCTCCCTGGAGCCTCCACTTCTCCAGACTACAAACCCCAGTTCTCAGCCTGTCCTCCTAGGAGAGGTGTTCCAGACCATTGATTATTTCTGTGGTCCTCTTCTGAACTTGCTCCAACAGGGCCATGTCCTTCCTGTACCAAGGATGCAGAACTGCAGCTGGGGTCTTCACAAGAGCAGAGTAGAGGGGGAGAATCCCCTCCCTTGACCTGCTGGCCACACTGCCCTGGATACAGCCCAGGATACGGTTCGCTTTTTGGGCTGCCAGTGCACACTGCCGGCTCATGTCCAGCTCTTCATCCACCGTTACCCCCAAGCCCTTCTTCTCGGGGCTGCTCTCGATCCCTTCACCCCCAGTCTGTATTGGTACCAGGGGATGCCCTGACCCAGGTGTGGGACCCTGTGCTTGGCCTTGTTGAACCTGTTGAGGTTCACGTGGGCTCACTTCTCGAGCTTGTCTGCGTCCCTCTGGATGGCATCCTCAGGTGTGTTAACCGCATCACTCAGCTTGGTGTCATCTGCAAACTCGATCCCTTCATAAATAAATGCTTGTGTGATGGAAGGGAGCACATTCCCGGGGGTGGCTTTGTATGTGCCACACTTGTCTCAGCCCCCCGCCCAAGTACGTGGGTCTCCCTAGAGGAAAGGGTTAAGCCCGGAAGGACACCATGCGTGTCGCCACCACGAGGAGGGGACTGCTGGCACTGAAGACAAGGGACCCTCTGGCTCCGAGGCATCAACCCCTCCCTGCAATAAGGAGAGGAGAGAAGACCTGGAGAAGGCAGAAGGGAGAGGGACGTAGAGATTTACCTGGTGGATGTGGAAGATGGCTAGCTCAAAAAGAGACCCTGTGGTATCAAAGAAGCTGACATGCGTTTTTTTTCCCTAAATCAATGAAATCTGGATTCTCATTAACAAAGAGCTGTTGAAAGTGTTTTAGTGAGGCCCTTACGTGTGGTATAGTGATGATGGGGGCCAAAGAGCCTAGAGGGTGGCTGGGCAGGATTTGGAAGCAGCTGAGCTCCAGCCAGCGAAAGCCATGTGATGCATGACCATCTCCTCCTGCTGTTTGCTCCACTGCCTCGAAAACAATTACATGCTATAGAGTTTAATCATAGAAATTTTATAAAATTAAATATTATGACATTTATGATAAGAAAGTATTGACCCTAAAGCTGTCTTTTGTGAGGAATTAGATCAATGACACCATGGACCAGCAGCACAACTGATCAGTGCCCTTTTACAAGCAACCTTTAGACATCAGAAATATTGTCCTGTTCCTCCCTCTCCATCTGGACATATGTCTCTTTTCTAGACTAGCCACAGCAAATTCCTTTAACCTTTTCTGACAGATCTGTTTCCTAAATGTCTCAGCTTTCTTACTGCTCTGGGCTGGACTCCATCCATGTCAGCTACCTGGGAAAATGTCTTGTTTTTGTGCAGCGTGATGGCAGCAGGGAGAGGAAGCAAGGTCCCACTTGCTGGGAGGCAGAGCTGGGCAGAACCACAGGAGGGCTGGCCAGCACAGCAGGCACAGATAGGAAGATGCAGGTCACCAAGCCACCAGCCATCTTCAGAAGGACACGGCAGCAGCCTGGCTGCACGCACCAACAGGGACCTTCAGCCTCGGTCTGCCGGTTCCACGTGTTAAATGGGAAGAAGGAATTGTCACCATTTTGGCATAACATTGGCTAGACCAAGCGATTTTCCTCAGGAGACAGCTAAACGTGGTGTAATATTGCCTTTCAGGGAGACATCCAACATAGCTCAGCTGACTTTAAGTGAGAGACACTCCCTCCCAGTCCCTTGTCCCTCAGTGACCGTGATCCATGCGCTCTTTTGGTCTGGCTGGCAGCTATTGGATCAGGTTAGTGCCAAAAGAGCCCTCTGCTCCTGCTGTTAAGCATTTCCCTGTGACAACTCTCCTCGTGCTCCCTTGTGTGAGGCAAGTGGTTGAAATATTGCTTGAACTTCTGGCCAGTGGTCCAGCCCTCAGGAGGGGCATCTCTCTGCATTATGGGTTGAATTGGGCAGCTGTGCTGGGAACGGCTGCCAAGGGGATGCAGGCTCCATCTTACCAAGTATAAATTAAATCCAATAAATCCTAATTAAATTCATTAGCTCAACAAATTGGACAATTTGTCTTCCCAAACACATATTTATATTATACTGTTCATCACCTGCAATGCTAAAATCCCAATCAAAGCAATCTCTCTCTCATTTGTGGACATGGTGGTCCTCAGAAACGGCAGCTGTGTGAGTGAACACAGGGCTGCCCTGAGAGTGCACAACGACCTGCCACAGCCAGGGGCGTTCATTCAGCGCTGGGCTGCGGTGGGGCAGCACGGACCGAAGCAGAGGCTTTCCTGAAGCCAGACACCTCTGATGGGTCATGCTAGCAGCCTGCCCCACTTGCACAGCCTCGATGGCTGTTCACGCCTAAAATCCATAATCCAGCTGCTGGATGCTAAGGGGAGAAGGTCCTGATAAAGAGCTGAGAGAGCAACCAAGGGCATGGAGCTGCTCAGCTGGCGATGGTTGCTGGTGGGAGAGGGGAGAGGAAGGGGCAGGGAGGTGAATCACCTGCAGAGCTCCAGCATGGCACAACTCTTCCCGTGGAGGGCAAGGATCCAGCATACAGCTCCACAGAGAAATGCAGAGAGATGGATCTAAGTGACAGCATCCAGACAGAGCGTGCATTGCTAAAAATGTCTGCAGTTCAGCA